ACAGCGCCCAGGCCCAGAGTTCAGGCCCCACGACCGGACCCAAAAAAACCCCAAAAAAGTGGAAGTGGTGCTGTGGCTCAAAGTGGTACAATGGTAGCCTTGAGCACAAAAAGCTCAGGGACAGTACCCTGACTCTTGAGTTCAAACTCCAGTACTACTAAAAAAAAAAATGTTTTCATTGAAAATAATGAACTGGAAGAGAGCAAGAGAAGAGGTAACATTGTCAAAAAAGAAGTGTACTCATTACCTATCATACGTAACTATCCCCTCTGCATATCACTTTTAAATAACAAAAAATTTAAAATAACATATATAGAAAAATGCATGTCATAAGCTTAATTAGTTTCACAAAGTGAATATATCCTCCCAACCAGCATTCAGATCAAGAAACACTTGCACTGCACTTGCTTTTTACACTAAAATTGAAGTAATACCAAGAGGATTAACATGTCTTTGTACTAGATGACATACACTTTTATAAAGGGTCCCGTATTTCTCTCCCTTTCTTTCTCTCCCTTTCTTTCTTTCCCTTTTTCTTTCTTTCTTTCTTTCTTTCTTTCTTTCTTTCTTTCTTTCTTTCTTTCTTTCTTTCTTTCTTTCTTTCTTTCTCCTTCTTTCCTTCCTCCCATCCTTCCTTCCTTCCTTTTTTATTTATTTTTTGGTCAGTCGTGGGGCTTGAACTCTGGGCTTGGGCGCTGTCCCTGCCCTCTTCAGCTCAAGGCTAGCGCTCTACCGCTTGAGCCACAGCACCACTTCCGGTTTTCTGGTGGTTTGTTGGAGATAAAGAGTTTCACAGACTTTCCTGCCTAGACTGGCTTTGAACCGTGATCCTCAGATCTCAGCCTCCTGTGTAGCTAGGATTACAGGCGTGAACCACAGGCACCCGGCTCCTTCCTTTTTTAATGTCAGTCTGGGGGATGACAGGGGACTTGAATTTGGGGCATGCGCTGTCCCTGGACTTTTTGCTCAAGGCTACTACTATACCACTTGAGCCACAGCAACACTTCTGGCTGTGAAGCTTTTCTTTTTTGGGGGGGGGGAGTCTGGGGGGTACTGAGGATTGAACCCAGGACCATTGCACTTGCTAGGCAAGTGCTTTATCACTGAGCTACATTCCAGCCCTACTTCTGGCTTTTTTAGTAGTTTATTGGAGTTAAGAGTCTCACAGACTTTCCTGCTCGGGCTGGCTTTGAATCATGATCCCCAGATCTTGGTCTCCTGAGCAGCTAGGATTACAAGAGGTGAGCCACTAGTATCTAGCTAAGCTCATTTTATTGCTCGGTTTTTTTGCTCACAGATGCTACTCTACCACTTAAGCCATACCTCCAGATCCAGCTGTTTGCTGGTTAATTGGAGATAAATGTCTGTTGGATTTGTCTACTAAGCTAGCTTCAAACCTTGATCCTCAAAACTCAGCCTCTGAATAGCTAGAATTACAGGTGAGTCAGCAGCACCTGGCTTTTTATTGGTTGAACTGGAGTCTCATGAACTTTTTGCCCCAGCTGGTCTCTTGATCTTCACCTCCTCCCCTTATTTTTTTGGGGGGGTCCAGTCGTGGAGCCTGAATTCTGGGCCTGGGCACTGTCCCTCAGCTCTTTAGCTCGAGGCTAGAGCTCTACCACTTGAACCATAGCGCCACTTCCAGCTTTTTTCTTTTTGCTTATGAGGTGCTGAGGAATCGAACCCAGGGCCTCAGGCATGCAAGGCAAGCGCTCTACCACTGAGCCACCTTCCCAGCCCCTTCCCCTTGTTTTGTTTGTTTTGTTTTGTTTTGTCAGTCATGGAGCTTGAATTCAGAGCCTGGTACTGTCCTGAGCTTTTTGCTCTCAAGATTAGCACTCTACCACTTTGAACCACACCACCACTTCTGGTTTTCCAGTGGTTAATTGGAGATAAGAGTTTCATGGGGATTTTTCTGCCCCAGCTTACTTCAAACCTCGATTCTCTGTTCTCAGCCTCCTGGGTAGCT